CCCCCCCCCCCCCCCCCCGAACCAAGAGTTGGCGTGGAGGGGTGCAATCGTTGGGTTAGTAGCAACAATTGACAAGGAAACCTTCGAGTGAGAGAGAGAGAGAACTCAAGGTATTTTGGTGTGGATACGTTGTCGCAGGAAGCCACCGACGAGACCACCCTTGCGCGTGTATCGCCGAAGCAGTAGTTTTCATGCTGTTCAGACGAGATGGAGTGCTACAGATGCGTTTGACGTGCGTGCGCAACCAAACGCCATCGGCGGGGAAACATTCTCGTGTCGTACCTCAGTTTTGTTTCAGTGCCATCACGTTGGACTCCTTGCAGCCCGATGCTCATCTATCCGTCTCGACAGTTACCAGGACAGACCAAGCGCAACCGCGTTTCTTGCGCACACAGTGCGAAAAGGTAGTACGTTAGACTCCTTGCAGCTTGACGCTCATCTATCTGTCTCGGCGGACACCAGGACAGACCAAGCGCAACCGCGGTGCTTGTGCGCACAGTGCGAAGAGTCACGAAGTGTACGTTAGCCCCGGACCCCACCAACATGGCAGGCCTCTATCGCTATCTCCTCGCCAAGCTGTGTCGATCGCGTGGAAGTGGGCCGTCGGTGACGCTGAGAAGAAGGGGACGTGCCTGCTCGGCTATCAAGGTCATCGATCGCTCAAGACCAAGCCTGGCCCCAAAACGACGAGGACGGCAGGCAGAACTGATGATATTGTTACTCCAGTTTTCGCCCCGAACCCTGGGGCAGGGTGTACTCGTCAGCGTGCTGTTGATAGTGTTGGCGGCGGGTTTTGAGGCTAAGTTCCGTCGAGTTGCCTGATTCAGTTCGTTTGTTTGTTTTTCCTTACAAGAACGCACGCGCACATGTTTCACCTTGTCCGTAGATTGCCATCCAAGCTCCAATGACTGGCGAAGAGGATTTGCGGTGTATACAGCAGCGGTCTTGGGACACTACCGGTGTTTATACCGTTCCTTGCGATCGATCAGTCTTGGTGAACCCCGTGTTGTGTTTTTCGAAACTCACGTGAGAGACAAAAGCCACGCTGAGCACGGGGACAAGTCTTGCTGGCTTAATAGTAGGAGTCACGATGAGGTTAACTGCATGCAGCTGACTTCGGGTGATGTGTCCGTAGGAGATTCATTATGGTGTGTACGTAATGATTTCCGCTCCGTCGGTGATATACATATACACCGCATATGTTGGGAGGTCAGTGGAAACCTCGATACGACCAGTTGTGTCATGTCGTTCTCGCGGACGGCACGGCCCCCCAATTCAGGAAACGTGCGGCTGAATTCGTGTGTAGATCATGGAACGCACGCAACGAGGTGGGCCGGCAAGGTATGCGAGCATAGCGTGGCCGAGCCATGCTTTCGGCCCAAACCCAAGACACTCCCGGGTGAAGAACCGTTGCACCCCCTGTCGGAGCGGCGGGAGGAAAGGAGTAATTTTGGCTTTTTCTGTGAGTCTTGGGGACCGGGGACCCGAACCACACGTTGACGGGCGGCGGCAATAAGGGTCACATTCATTCGTCTATCTCCGCAAAAGCCTGTTTCAAGGACGATTCCGTCATTTCCCACGAATTAATGGGTTGTGACCCCCAACTTTTGTTATGTAAGTAGCGTCGTTCGCCCACTTGCCTATTCTGGCTTCAGGCAAGGTGCACCTACGTACCTCACGTCCGTCAAGTTTCCTCATCTTCCCCCGATGGCTACCTCTCTCCTTTTGCCTCACAACACGGGCGTGTGCCGCTGGGGGGGCAGGGGTTCTCCACCCCTCCCCGTCCATTTTCCTCTGATGCCCATACTTTGCCAACATTCAGGTGACCGGCGACATCATGCATGCGCGCTCGATACTTGACATTCTCGCTACTACATCCATAGCAGTGTCTCTTCGTCCTGCCATGAAGTACCAGATACTGTAGACCACACGGACTGCCAATACGCAAAGAAAGCAAGACCAGGGTGTTTGCGGCCTACGCCACTTATTTATCGGGTGAGACTGTTTTGGTGATGTATTAACTTCACGGGAGGTAGACGACCGTCCTTCACACGGACGAAAGAGGGAGTACTCAAAGAGCGGCTCCCACAGCAAGGAGGGGCCCCGTGAATCATCGCGGTGCCCCCTATCAATTGGCTATCTTACCAGTCTGCGTGACACAAAATCATCCAGCACATGTATCCAACAGCAATGTTCGCAGACTCACGAACACCCTCCCTGGTTCTTCACGAAAGTGACTAACCATCAATTGGGCAAGAACGCCCCAGGATACATCAGAAAATACCAACATGGTAACATATGGAGGGGAAACCCGGCGTCCGGGCAAAACCCCTCAAGGAAAAACCCTTCCACCACAAAAAAACGTCGCTATCACAGCGGCTTACAACGGCCGCACTTCCCGAAAAATCCAAGGCAAGTGCTAAAAACTGCTACATCTACGGCAAATTCATCAGCTTGCGCCGGTGGTACTGCAGACTGACCCTGCTAAGGGCCTTGGTAAGGAGGTCCGCGTGTTGCTCCGTTGTCGGAACAAACTTGACCGAAATATCCCCCGACCTAAACAATCCGCGGATGAAATGATACCTCACGTCGATGTGTTTCGTGCGACCTGAGCTGAGGGGGTTCTGCACCAA